GTCCCTGTCCCCCCGGGGATCCCCAAACCTTGGTGGCGTTGCCCTCGGGGCACAGCGGGGACGGGCACTCGCAGTGGGCGCGGCCGTTCAGCTCCACGCACGAGGCGCCGAAATCGCAGCTCAGCTCCTGGCAGGAGCGGGGGGCCGAGGGGTCTGGGGAAGAGGGGGAGGCAGGGAAATGCCAGTCAGAAATCCCAGCCAGGGAAATCCCAGCCAGGGAAATCCCAGTTAGACAGGGAAATCCAAATCCCAGTCAGGGAAATCCCAGTTAGACAGGGAAATCCAAATCCCAGTCAGGGCAATCCCAGCCAGGGAAATCCCAGTTAGACAGGGAAATCCAAATCCCAGTCAGGGAAATCCCAGTTAGACAGGGAAATCCAAATCCCAGTTATGGAAATCCCAGTTAGGGAAATCCCAGTCAGGGAGAAAATCCCAAACAGACAGGAGCCAAAATCCCAGAGACAGGAGGAAAAATGCCAAATACACAGGAGCCAAAATCCCAAATACATGGGAGCCAAAATCCCAGTTAGGCAAGAGCCAAAACCCAGTTATTCAGAAATCAAACCCCCAATAAACAAGACCCAAAACCCCAAATAAAAAAGCCCCAGACCCAAAACAAGCAGGACCCAAAACCCCAAATATGTCAGACCCAAAACCCCAAATAAGCAGGACCCAAAACCTAAATAAACAAGCCCAAACCACAAATAAAAACAAGCCCCAAAACTGCAAACAAGTAGAACCTAAAACCCCAAATAAACACAACCTAAACCCCAAAGAAAACCCAAACTCCAAAAAAACAAGCCCCAAACCCCAAAGCCCCAAACCACCAAATAAACAGGACCCAAAACCCCCAAAAAACCAGCCCCAAACCCCAAACAAACCAGCCCCCAACCCCAGACAAACCAGCCCCCAACCCCAAAAAACCAGCTCCAAACCCCAAACAAACCAGCCCCAAACCCCAAACAAACCCCAAACCCCAAACAAACCCCAAACCCCAAAAAACCAGCTCCAAACCCCAAACAAACCAGTCCCAAAGCCCCAAACCCCAAAAAACCAGCCCCAAACCCCAAAC